TTTCCATCCGGCGGACTCGGCGGCAGGCACCGCGGGTCGCATGCGCTGCGTCATTTGCCACCGCGGATTCAACTCGCGCAGCAATCTGCGCTCGCACATGCGCATCCACACGCTGGACAAGCCCTTCGTGTGCCGCTTTTGCAACCGCCGCTTCAGCCAGTCGTCCACACTGCGTAACCACGTGCGCCTGCACACGGGCGAGCGCCCCTACAAGTGCCAGGTGTGCCAGAGCGCCTACTCGCAGCTGGCCGGCCTGCGTGCCCACCAGAAGAGCGCGCGCCACCGGCCGCCCAGCGCCGCGCTGCAGGCGCACTCGCCTGCGCTGCCCGCGCCGCACGCGCACGCGCCCGCTCTCGCCGCCGCGGCCGCCGCCGCGCACCACCTGCCGGCCATGGTGCTGTGAGCGCCGCGCCCGCGCCCGCGCAGCCGCCTTCCCGCCTGCGGCGCCAGCGTCGCCAACTGTTCTCTCTCCGGACTGGACCTCCGGGCAGTGGCGGTGCGCTCCAAGAGTGACCCCCAGGCATACATTTTTCGCCCCGTTTTTTAGATGAGGACACTGGGGGACGACGTTCCTTTCCCGGGGCCACCCAGCTGGTTGCAGGTAGTCAGCCGCTTCCTTTTTGGGTGGGTGTTCCCTGTGCCCGGCCTAATCTCGTCCTGTAGAGCCGGCCGCCCAGGCTGGCAACCCTCTCGTGGGTGGCAGGACAGGGGACCGAAAGTCTCCGAGGGCCTTAAGAGGGGAAAGGGACCGCCAACCCCCCCCCCCCCACCCCAATGGAGAGCTGTGTGTTGGGAATGGAGGGAGAGCGACCTCCCTGCCCCAGTGTGGCCTGGAGTGCGCCAGCCCATCTGTTCCCGCATCCTTCCTCTTGGGGCTGGCGGCCTGCCGGGTTCGGAGTCACAGACACGACTTTTGAGAGCTGGGAGCCAACGGGCAGGGGCAGTCCGGGAAGCCCAGAGAGAGACCTGAACTGCCCTGGGGGTGGGGGCGGTGGCTCCTTTGGGCCACCTTCCTTCCCCCGACCTGTCCGGGCTCCCTGGGGAATGGGTGAGGGACGAACTTTGCAGTGTTGAGAGAGCAGGCAAAACGGAAATCCACTGTGGGACCCCGGGCAAGGGCCTGCCCTTCTTTGGGCCTCAGTTTCCCCTTTTCCCGTCTATAAAGTGAGAGCGTTGGATCGAGGCCCCCTCCCCTTCAGTTCTGACACCGTGCTTGGGAAGGGGAAGTTTTCCGGCCCGTCCTCGCCACACTCGAGCAGGCGGAGGACGGGACTGGATTGTCTGCGGGGAAAGCACTTCCGAGCCCGGCCCGCCCGCTTTCTCCCTCGCTCTTTTCCCGTTTCCCCAGACTCGGCCCTGGCGCCCTCTGGTGTCCTCTCTCCCGCCTTGCAGTCATTTACCAGTATTTCCGTAGGACGTTTTGTAAGATAAACTATAATATTAATGAAAAGTATAAAATGTATAGAGTTTTCAAGAAACTGTGTTCTACTTCCAGAAAATGGTCACTTTAACTTTGTAAATATTTATCTAAAATGATATTTACAAAACTGTGATATATATTATTTGATTGTATATGTATAACTGTAAATACATTTGTACCTCTCTTGTATTCTAAAATAAAAATTACTTGAGCATTTATCATTAGCATCTGAATGGGCCGACCCTTTTGTCTGCATGGAAAGGAAATATGGAAAGTGCCTGGAAACTGGAGAGGGCGTGGGAGGACTTGTTCCATCTACCTGTTGTGCCATTTATAAGGCAAATCCTTCCTGTCACAGCTGCCATGTCAGCTCCCAAAGAGATGGCCGCCGTGCAAAGCAAGGAAAATTTCAGAGGGGGTGGGCTGACTCCTGCTTTCCAGCCAGCTCACTAGTGCCTCATTTAGTCACTTCTCCAAAATGTTTACTTTTTTAAAAAAATTTATTTTCACGGACAACTTGAAGGAATTCAGGCAGCCAGGGTGGCAGGCCGAGATGGCCCCTGAGTGTCCTCCCAAAGCCTAGAATTCCCAAGGGCTTTGGGCACCCGTTCCAGACCCACGTGAGGAGGACCGAAGAGCAGAGGGGCCATCCCGGCAGGGCCAGGCCCCGGCTCTTCCCTCCGGGAGTTGGCATGGCACTGAAGAGTGTGAGTTCACCCCTGTGCTCCAGAACACGCCGGCGCTGAGGGTGTCACCCACCAGGCCACTGGCCACCTCAGGCACACCCCTCTGTGCTTCCTTATCTAGCCATGCGCACGTGTGAGTGCACACACCTGTAGACTCTGGAATGCACTCGCACACACAGGCCACCCTCCTTTGGAGCTTCAGGTATGTGTTCCCAAAAGTCCCTGTACCCTGGGGGACTGCACCCTGGCAGGTGGGGACATGGGCACAGATGTACACTTAATGCGTTCATTTGCATATCATCTGGGATCCCCTTCCTTGGCGGGGGCAGTGTGGGATGTCACCCTTTGTACTCCTCCTCCCCCTCCTCTTGTCACAAGCCTTGCCTTGCTTTTGATACCTCCCACTAGGCGTCTGATGCCTCTGGTGGCCCCTGTCATTACCCTCCTCCCGCTGCAGCCCCCACCCAGGCCTCTGACCAAAGCTATCTGTCCCGAAATTTGTTCCCTCTGGATGCAGGTGGGCGACGTAGAATTAAACACCCCTCTGGCTCAGATGCCATGCCTCCCAGACAGTAATGCTGGATTCCTGAAGAACGGTCTGTAGCCAGCGGCCCCTGATAAAAATCGAAATCACTTTCCACATGTTATTCTATGACGTCCCTGCTGCAGATCACCAGGAGCCACATCCCAGTCTCTAGAACCCACCTGGTGGCAGCAGATTGTAATTGCAGACTGAAGTGCCTCTGATAAGGCTGCTGGCTGCCTGCTTCTACAGAAGTCCTCCACCCCCACCCCTTCCCTGCTAGAGATACAAGGATGAGCAGCGTTAGTATTGACTAGTTTGAATAATTTCAGTGGGCTCTGCAACCTAGCCCTCTATTACCTGGCCTTGGGGTGATTAGGGTAGCTGGATAGTGGAACGGAGTAGGACACTGAGAGTTATTCCAGGTGAAGCGGTCAGGGAAGGCTTCTTGGAGGAAGTGATTTTTTTTCTTTTCTGGAGAGAGGGGAAGGGAGGTAGAAAGAGAGGGAGTGAAACATTGGTTGCCTCTCACATACCCCCAGCAGAGGACCTGGCCTGCCACCCAGGCAACTGCCTTGGCTAGAATCAAACCAGCTACCTTTTGGTTTGTAGGCTGACGCTCAATCCAAGCCACACCAGCCAGGGTGGAGGAAGTGATTTTTGAGCCGAGATCTGAGTGAGGAGAAGCGGTTGCATAAGACCCGGGAAGAAGAGAATTCCATTCAGAGAAGGCCAAACATGCACTGGTCCTGGGGTGATGACAAGGTTGGTGTGTGAGGAACCGAGAGGCGAGCTGTGCTTCTGGTTGCGGTTCAGTGAACAGGGGAGCACGTTAGGAGGTGAGTGGGGTTCGAGATGAGCAGGGGCCAAAATGACAAGTTTGGATTTTTTTCTTAGTGTAAAGGGAAGCCACCAGAATCCTGGAAGTGGTTTAAATTGGTCTGTTTCTAAAAGCTCCCTCTGGCTGCTGTATGGAGGTTGCATGGTAGGAGGAGCAAACACAGAATTAGGGGAATGAGCCAGAAAGTGGCCCTGGAGGTGCACAGATGGGGAGGTAGTCCTCAACGCCCAAGTCTGGGCTCAGGAATCTCTGTATTCTAACAAGCCCCTCTGAGAATTTTAGTCCTTTTTGGGCCCTGGTTTCCACTTTATGAAAAGGTGTCTACTGCCCTGGGTGGTGTAGCTCAGCTGGTCAGAGTGTTGTCCCACAGACAGAAAGGTTGCGGGAACTTCCAGGCCTAGCTCCGTAGCTGGCTCAAAGGACACTACTGCCCTCTTATGGCCAAGGCTGGACTCAACAGATGGACCCCTTTCACACTTGTAGTCGTGAGGCTGGCTGTCTCATGGGAGATTTATCAAACAATCTGATGGGTCTTCAGGAGGCAGCAGGTCTGATTTTGTGAACACATTATATGGGGCTGATGCAACTTATTTCGTTTAATCCTCTTTCAGGTCCATGTGCATGAAGAATTATCACCTCCAATTCCCTAATATTTGTTGTGAATGCTGTAAACCATTCAGGACAAGGGTGAGGGAAAGGGTAGCGGGGATGGGGAGAAGAAACGAGGGAAACGCTCCTGTTAGACAGGACATGAAGATATAGTCACACATACATCTGTCTGTCTACCGCTGAATCCTTTGCAACGGCTCCTGGCACACAGCGCTCAGTTCGTGTGTGAATAAAATATAAGTGAAGATCTTCACATTAGGTGTGCATTGCCTTCCCTACCAAATACATCTTCTTGCTAGGTTTGAAGGGTTTTTTTTTCAGACAGTTTCTTGTTTTTAAAATAGAAATGTTAGAGTAAATCAGTTCACTCAAAAGACATTACGGAAGAACCGAAGCAGCACCCCGAGCACCGTTTGGGGATATAGATGACGGTTGGTGCTGAACCAGCACCCGCGGGCGGCTGTCATGTAGAATACCGGCGTTGCTAGGAACAGCAAGGAAGGGGGGCTCTTCCGAGGGTCCAAACAGCGTTTTCTGCACCTCTCACCACCGAACCCTCGTGAGCGCGTTCTTACAGAAACCTCACAGTTTAGCAGCTTAGAGTTGGAAGGAAGCTCAGGGTCCATTTCCCAATTCTCTCTAACCCTGTTAAACAATAAATGGGATGATGAGTAAGAGGCAGTTTTGGTAAAAAGTCTAACAGCATAAAACAGAGTTTATTCCACAGACGCACGCGTGCCCGTAGTAAAAATGGCAACTCTGCTCCCTCATTCCCTTAACGTTAACCTAATTGTTGCCAATAGTGAGCATGGCCGCCAGGCCGTGAGATTCCATTGGCTGCTGCTCTGAGGCCCCTCCCCATGCCTCGGGCGATGGCCGGGAATCGCGGAGCTTGGTCTCGTGGCCTTCAACTGCGCTTGCGCAAGTCATTGGCGCCAAGATGGCGATGGAGATGAGGCTTCCCGTCGCTCGTAAACCTCTTAGCGAGAGCCTGGGCCGAGAGAGTAAGAAACACCTGGTGGTACCGGGCGACACAATTACTACGGACACGGGCTTCATGCGGTGCGTGGGGACCTGGGGACTCGGGGCCACAAGGGGCGGTTGCAGGGCTCTGCACGTGGCCCGCTATTTAAAACCTGGGCCTGTGGCCGCCTGTGTTAAATCCCCCGCGGGACCCAGAACACGTGACATGAACCCCTGTAGTTTACGAGGCCTCGGGCTTCTACTCCCTGCATCTTATGTCCGCGTGTGCATTTGTCTCAGCCCCTTGTAATCCTCCTTTCTCGCTCCTTATGGCCGTGGTTCTCGGTTCCTCTGCCTGGGGTCCAATTCCTTGAACCTTCCTCGTTGGAGACCCGGAAAACGGGGGAGGGTTAGGGGCAGCGGCTCTTTTTGGGGACGGTAGGCGTTGCTGACGTGGCCTCCTCCCCGTCCCTTAGCGTCATCTCCTAGTCAGTTGCACGATTTCGGAATCAGTAATTGTTTGGGCTTAGGGCAAACATGCATTTTGGTGCATGCACCCAAATATACGCCTTCGAATCTGAGAGCAGTTTAATATGTTGTAACTAAGAGGGCATGGTTCCAGTCCTTCCATCTCATGTGAACTGTACTACTTCTCCAAGGTTAGTTTCCTCATCTGGAAAATAGTGATAATTACAGTAACTATATGGTAGAGTAATGAGGATTAAATGAGGTAATTAGGAAAAGAAGCAAAACCCACCATTGTAGCACCATCATAGAAATACTAGCAAGTTGCAGGGGGGAAGTTCACATGTAGAGAATTGCCCTTTAACCTTTTAGCTGGAAGTTAGTGGATCCTAGAAAATCTTAAGATTTTCAGCAACCCATTCCACATCTATTTATATTATGCATGGTCGCTATACCACCGTGACAGGACAGAGGGGAAATCTCTCGTAGAGTTTTTATTCTAACAGGGAGAGACAGGTAAAAAACTATAAGCACAAAAAAAGATAGGTTATTTGGGGTGTTTGGTGATAAATGCAGTGGAAAAATGAGAAGTCGAGCAGGGTAAGTGGCGCGTGGCTGGGAATATGGTGGGGGTGACTGCAGCGCGTTGGGTGGCTATTTTATATGGGACGGTCGAGGTAGGCCTGACGGAGAAAGTGGCATCGGTGGAGACCTGAGTCAGGTGGGGGAGATGTCCGCGTAGCCCTGTAGAGCCCAAGTGTGCTAGGCAGGGAGCAACCAGCACAGAAGCCAGGCTCGAGGGCAGGAGGGGCCTGTGCGGGGAAGACGAGGTTCTTGGCGGCAGAGATCACCCCAGGTGTTACCCTGGTATCCTCTGTATCTTCCTCTTGAAACAGGGGCCATGGAACGTACATGGGGGAAGAGAAGCTCATCGCATCTGTGGCTGGTTCTGTGGAGAGAGTAAACAAGTTGATCTGTGTGAAAGCTTTGAAAACCAGGTGAGAGCCAAAGGTGTGTATTCTTTTCCCTGTGGCATCCGTGTTGCCCAGGCAGATCTTTTCTGCCACAGCATACCTGCCCGCCACCTGTCTGCCCTGTCATTCTGTGGGTCTGTGACGTGGAACACGTGTAGGTGACTGTAGGTGAGTGTGGGCCTCAAAGGTTTCCCCACATCACCCAACCTTTCCAAACCTTTGTTACCTCTGTAAAATGAGGGTAATAGCACAAGCTACCTCATAACGGCTTTTATTAGAAGTCATTGAAGGGATGCGTGTAAAGTCCTTAGCACAGGGCTCAGCAAAGGTTCGCCCCAGAAAGGACGCTGTGGGGTCGGACAGAGTGAGCGAGGGGGAGAGGAGGAGCAGAGGCAGCCGAGAGCCGAGGTGGCCGTCCGCCTGCCTCGTGGGCTAGGCGCGATGAGCATTTTGACTTCCACGTGCTAAACATTTTGACTTCCACGTGCGTGTGTGATCTAGGAAGCCGCTGCAGGGGGTGGAGCAGAAGAGGGATGTGATCTGATTTCTGTTTTAACAAAATCACTGGCTGCTGTGGGGAGACTCTTCCCCAAAGTGGTGGTGGCTTGGACTAAGGTGGTAGCAGTAGAAGTGGAGAGTGATTCATCCTGCATGTATTTTGTGTTCTGAGTGTTTTCATCATGAGAGGATGTTGAATTTCGTATTTTTTGGTATTTTCTCTATATAGGACCATGTCTGTGAGTAGAGATAGGCATTTATCTTCTGGGTATATTTTGAAGGTAGAGCCATCATCTGCTGCTGGACTTGTCTGAGAGAGAGACAGACACCCCAAGGGCTCCTCCAAGACTCCAAGGTTCTTGGCTTGAGCAACTGAGGGGTGGAGGCGGCAGTTACTGAGATGCTGAGGACAGGAGGGGGTGGGGAGGGGCTGCTGGAAAGCTTTGTTTTAGGGTTTTTACATTTGAAAATCCCTATGAGCCATGTAAATGGAAATGTTGGGTAGCCAGCAGCTGACTGGAGTCTGGGACTGGAATGGTCCTGTCATTGGTGGTATTTAAAGCCTGTAGGATGAGCTCACAAAGAGGTGAGTGTGGGCTGAGAGGAGAGAAAGTCCGAGGACTGAGCCATGTCATTCGAATCAGGATGAAGAGCTCGCAGAGGGGCCTGAGAGAGCAGCCAGTGGCTGGGCTGGCACGTGGTGTCCTGTCCAGTCTCGGCTCTCCTGCCTTGACTGACGCAGAGATCTGTGTGTTCCAGAGCTCACCAGAAGGTCCTCTGCGCTTATGGTTGTCATGTAATTAACAAAATGGAGATTCAGGCTTAATGAACTGCCTGTGGTGAATGGTTTGTCTAAGAAGAGGTAACAGATTTCATACGAGTCAGAATGTTTAAAGTGATCGGTTCCTGAGAATAAGTCCGAACAGCATGGGTGCCTGATCAAGGCCCTCATTCTGTTTACCTGAAATCTCAAATGGTGCTTGGTTTTGTAATAGTCTTTTCACTGATGGGTCACCTTTTGTTTTATCTTTCAGATATAATGGTGAAGTGGGAGACATCGTAGTGGGGAGAATCACAGAGGTAAAGTTGATATTAGTTTGATTTTACATAGGAAAGACAGACTGGTGATTTAATGAACAGGATAGTCATTCTGTGTGTAGTTACGTGAATGAAGCAGTCCTTGCATTTGGCTCTTGTTTGTGACCTTTGATGTAAACACTTGGCTTATTATCTTGAGGATTGTTGGTCACCTAGGACGTGAGGTCTTGCCGCTGGAGTGTGTGTGTCCAGGTGTGGAATTTTGGTTTCTAGGTTCAACAGAAGAGGTGGAAGGTGGAGACCAACTCCAGGCTGGACTCAGTCTTGCTTCTGTCATCCATGAACCTTCCGGGAGGAGAGCTGGTAAGGGGCTCCAGCTGGGGCCGCGTGGTTTGCTGCCAAGAGCTCTGGGGTCTTTTGCTCCACCAGAGAGCTCGCTTCACACCGGGGCCGCCCCATTTGCTCCTGGCTGCCTGCCCTGAAGTGTGCTGCCCAGGCACCCCCGGAGGCCTTTCACTCGGCATGGGCCTCCGGAGGGGCAGCGGCTGTTGGGTGGTGAGATCTGGAATGTCCGTGGAGAGAACCCCGGAAGGGAGCTGGGAGAGACGCCCGGCAGGCGCGGGGCCTTCCTGCCACGGGTGCGTCGGCCTCGCACAGCGCAGGTGTTCCCTTGAAACGTGTTTCGTGTCTAGATTAGTGTCCACGAATTGGGTGGCATTTGGCTCTTCCAGGCAACGGCAGCGCCTAAGCGACAGCCTTTTGTACAGGCCATGGTTCCCCTTTGCCTGCAGCCCAGCATCTGTGCAGAGAGGCGCCCTGTGCTGGGTTCTGCGGCGAGCGCAGGCAAGGGAGGCGTGCCGAGTCCCTGAAAGCCTGCAGGCTGCCGGGGCACGAGATGCCGTCCAAAGACCTGGCGAGTGGACTGTACAAAAACGGATTCATTCCCATGAGAGAAGCTCACAGGAAAGATGGGCATAAGACTTGATCCTTGAAGGATAGAATCTCAGTGATGAACTCAGGATATACCAGAGAAAAGGGAGTGTGTGGGCAAAGTCTCAGTCAAGCTGGAGGTGGCCTGGTCCTGCTGGGGCTGGGAGGGCGGCCCCAGGAGGCCGGGGGCGGGGGGTGGGGAAGCAGCCTACTCTGGGCTGGGTTGGAGGGTTTTCAGTGTCGTCCCAGAGTGTGAACAGCATTCAAAGGAGGGAGAGGGAGGAGCAGAGCTGCAGGGAGGTCGTAAGTGGTTGTAGCTCTCGTTTGCTTGAGGGGCAGAGGCTGCCCGCGGGAGCTCGGTGAGCGGGAGCAGGGAGCAGTGTTCCTGTGGGGCTGACTGAGGGGACGCTGCGTCTGTGTGTGTTTCAGAGGAGAAGGTCTGCAGAGGATGAGCTGGCCATGCGAGGTTTCCTGCAGGAGGGGGACCTGATCAGTGTATCCTGCGCCTTTGTGTGGAGCTGGGAAGCGGGGCTGCAGCCGGGTGTCCCCACCAGGAGGAACGTGGCGTCCTGGCCGGGAGCCGAGTCGAGGGCCAAGGGCTCTGCCGCAGCCTCTCCCCACTCCCTCACCCAGGCTGACTCGTCAGCTTTTGCTCACATCTGTGGCTTCTGGGTCATTTCTTTGGGTCTTGTAACGTACAGTGGCCCGTGCTTTAAGCAAGACTCAGGTTTTCTTAATGACCTTAAACTTTTATCCCAGGGAGTAGGAAAGGTGTTGATACCAAGGTGCTCATGACAGCAAAGGGGGAGGGTCAGGTCAGAGCGATGTCCTCCGGGTCCAAGGCTGCCGAGCGGGACCTTTGGGAGCGGGAGGAAAGGTCGGAGAGTGGGGCCTGGGACACAGAGGAGGCCGGGGACATGACGGTGTGTGTTCCTTCACCGCCCGGGCCAGGCCGAGGTCCAGGCAGTGTTCTCAGACGGCGCTGTCTCTCTGCACACGAGGAGTCTCAAGTATGGAAAAGTAAGTCGGGCTTCTGCTGCCTGTTTGCTGACCCAGACTTCACATCCATTCCCGAATCCCCAGAGCTCTCTGGAATTCTGACCCAAAGAACCCCGGAAGTTAAGAGCCACGGGCTGGCATCCTGCTAACGGATTGATTCACACGGTCCTGGGCCAGGAGCATCGTGGTGGATGACAGCTTCTGTCCTTTTCCTCCTGAGCGGAGTGCTCTGGCAGGAGCCCCTCTGGCCGTGGACCCTGAGGCCTGCTGTCTGCTCCTTCCTGGCAGGCGCTGCCGCTTTGCAGTGGGGCCAGGGCTGGGACAGTCCTTGGAACACAGGGAGGTCAGCGACTGCTGGAGCAGGACAGCGGACTCTTAGACAAAAGTCTGGCAATGAGATGGATATTATTGCTAGGAAAGATTGGTTTATCACTTGAGCCTCTAAATGAAATTTCACTCCATTTCTCGTACGAGGTTACATTATCGAGGCTATTTTTAAAATGATAGCTTACTTCCCAAGACAGATGATGGTTTATTAGTGTCTTGGCTTTATCCGAATGAACCTTTTAATTTTCTGAGTGGAACAAAAACCTCTTCCCTTAGTGAAGTGACCACAGCCACCCACGTTCACGTCCTTGAAGTTGGGGGTGAGACGGCCGTGCTGCCGGTGCTGGCCTTTTGGTCTAGGTGCTGCAGACCCACCCCCAGCCAGACCTGGAAGTAGAGGTGTCCCGCCAGAGCCGGGGGTGGGTTTGCGCCCTTGGTCAGTCCCCGAGCCCATCGTTGCGCAGCCCAGGGGCCGGGCAGGTGGCCGGGTGGGGGCGGGACAGCACAGGAGGCTTGAGCCGGGTCTTCGCCAGCCCCAGCTCCTCCGACAGCGGGTGCACCAGCCCGTGGTGACCACGGCAAAGGAGGGCGGTGGAGGGGGGCATGGAAAGCTGTCATCTGCTGGGATAGGGCAACAGCCTCTGCCTCTGGAAGTGCTCTCTGTAACGACCGACGGGGCCGGCAGTTACTGACAGGAGGGACCCTGATCCCGCCATAACCATGGCACACGTCCCACTGTCTGCTCTTCATCGCCCTCATTGATGATCCTTCAGTGACCTCATTTATGTCTGTCTTCAGCTCGGTCAGGGTGTTTTGGTCCAGGTTTCCCCCTCGCTGGTGAAACGGCAGAAGACTCACTTCCACGACTTGCCTTGTGGCGCCTCAGTGATTCTGGGTAACAACGGCTTCATCTGGATCTACCCGACACCCGAGCACAAAGAGGAGGATGCGGGGGGCTTCGTAGCAAACCTGGAGGTGCGTGAGCATCACTGCGGCCGTCTGGCGGGATGGAGTGTCTCCCCTCTGCTGCTGCGGTGGGCGGGGCTTGCTGGTTTCTTACTGTATTGCTGTAGTCTGCTAGTTCCAAGTGTTTCGGGAACATTGTATTGCTCTCTTTTTCTGAAGAGACCAAGTCAGCTACTGATGGCAAAAGTTGGAGGGGAGAAGCTGAAGAGGCTGTCCTTTTAAACCCCCTTGGAGTTAGCCCTTTGATTGGCCTGGAGTCCCACAGTTAAAAATGATTTGTGTGATTCGCTGTGACTGTTCCCTTATTTTGGTCCTGTTCTATTCCTGCCCCAACTGCCCTCTTCCCTTTGCTCCCCACCCCCCCGCCCCCACGGCCCCGGTAGCCCGTCTCCCTTGCTGATCGAGAGGTGATCTCCCGCCTTCGGAACTGTGTCGTCTCGCTGGTGACTCAGAGGATGATGCTGTATGACACGAGCATCCTGTACTGCTATGAGGCGTCCCTGCCACACCAGGTACTCTGCCAGGGCTTTCTTGTTCCTCGCTGCTCTGTGGGCAGGCACTGCGGGTTTATCGATTTGCTCCAGGGTTTGCTCAGTGATGGCACGTACATCCTCCAGATAAATGCCTTCACCATATCCATCAGTGTGGTCGGTGGGCAGCCTTAATGAGCGTCTGGTAGTTATTTTTCTGAGATACTTGTGCTTTTCTCAATGTCTAGCTTCGGTCTAAGGGTTTGGAGGCGCCAGGTGGGACTAGTGTCTGATAGCCGCCTTCTGGACCTCTTGCCCATTCCAGTTTCAGCTCCCCCTTTACTGGGTACCAGAATAACATCTTTGCGCTTGTCATCTGTATCCCAGAGAATCTTGCTGATTCATTAAGCCGGTTTTAGCAGATCACATCTTGTAATACTTAGCCTCTGATAAATGAAAGAAACAGGAGGTTTATGTTAACCATGCTTGGTTTCTGCGATTGGCTTGGCTTGATGGTCTACTTGTGGTTGGTTTATTTTCTGAACAAATACCTTTTCCTTTCTTTTTCAGATTAAAGACATCTTAAAGCCAGAAATAATGGAGGAAATTGTGATGGAAACACGACAGAGACTTTTAGAACAGGAGGGATAAGGAGGAGGGTCTGAAGGACAGGACTGTGCACCTGACAGGAGCAGTTCAAGAAAGTGAAGAATCTGATTTGTGGTCCCCGTGTGTGGCTCAGCAGAGCTGGGACCGGAGGCTCATCATGGACCTGCATCGCGCTGCGTCCAGCCCACAGACCTAGCTGCTTTCTTCTGTTCATGGGCAGAGCCTGGGAGAGGTGAACTGTGCCACCAGCCCCTTGGGCTGCCTGCAGATCCCCAGCCCCGGGGGTGGTCTGCGGTCTCCAAAAGCTCTCAGTGTTCTGGCCAAGTGGACTCCCATCCTGGAATAATATGGAGAGTCTTTGTCTCCTGTTCACCATCGTTCACAAGGCACAATGCCCATGAAATTGCCCCTGTAAAAACATGGCCTCCCTGACTCCCAAATGACCTGTTTTGGCTTCCATTCCCACCTCCTCTGCAGCACAAGTACAACATTGAAGACAGTAGTTGGTAAAGTTAGCCCAGCAGTCAAACAGAAGAATAAAGTTAACCACGCATCCTGTTGCTGGGTTGGAATCCTACTTCCCATTGCGTGTTCCTTCTAGTGATTGATTCAAGTGTATCCACACCGGGCTGCTCTAATCATCCTGCCTTTGAGGGTGATTTGTAAGAAGTTGAAGTATTGGTAATAGAATGGAGGTTTTGGGTGCCTGAGTAAACATGAAATCAAAATAGAGAAAAAGGAGATGGGAGAAAAAAAGCTAGTTTCCTCCTATAATTGAGGTAGTAACACATTAGCTTATGAATAGTTAAGAGTTCAAAGATAAAACCAAGATGTTGATGTTCTTATTGGGGAATGGCAGGAGTTCTGCGTTGGTTTGTCATGTCTAAAATAGTGACCTCGCAGGTTTTGGTAAACAATTTTTTTAAAGGCACTGTTTCTGTTCTTGTGTTCTTTGTAATATTTGGGAGCGGAGGGAAGTGGAAGGAGAGCTTAGCAAACAGTAGTTCTTCCGCCAGAGGCCCTAACTGCGGTGCCTGGGTCACCCAGCAAAATTTAAACCTGGGCTAGTTTCAGCAGTAATAATGTTGAACACTGCATTTGACAATTCTGAATATACCCTGACCCTTTTTCATTAGATGGTATATTTCTTGTTTATAACATAACTCAATAGACAGTTTTTTTAAAATCTCATTATTTTTGTGCTCCAAGTGCATCAGCTTTGAGTTTGCAGAAAGCTGAATGTTCTATGGGCTGTGTTGCAACTTTGAGATTTGCTCGCCTGTCATATCTTTGAGAACAAGTGCCAGGCCAGATGCCTCCCGAGAGAAAGGAATGGCAAAGGGCGGGAGCTGGAGTCCCAGAATTGGTTTAGTTTGGTTTTGGTCAGGACCATATGGAAGCTGGTAAGTTCTCACCAGAGCTCTCCCCAGCTGCCAGCCTCTGCTGTTCACTCGGGTGTCTGCTGAATGGTGGTGGTAACAAAGGGCTGAGAGCACCTTTTAGTGGTTAGTTTCTGTGGCCCGCTAGAGGGCGCCCTTGTTAAGTGTATTCCAGCGGGTGGAAAAAATGGAATAAACTAAATGGAGTAAGGATAGATTAATTACACGTACTGAATCCCTTTAGCAACTTGGTGGATTGCTCTGCTTTATAAAAGTGAGGACAAAGACTGAAATGTGTCACTTAATGAAATGACTATATGAATGTTAAGATTTATTCAATATTTGGAAACCTATTTCTGACAATCAGGCATTTGCTTGGCTCTGGATTCTAGTTTTAAGTCCTCAAAAGGATCATTCTACAGTGCTATGCAGCGAGTAAAAAAGTATAGTCCACCTCCAGAAATGTTATAGCCTGGGCTTGTAGCTCGCCTAAAATTAGAAAATGGTTACAGTAGGAAATGGAGATTATGAGATAAGCATTTAGATGAACTGCAGCTGGCCTCTATATTGGCTTTCATAATGCATAATTTCAATCTTGAATTGTGGAAAGTGAAACGAGATCTCATTTGATCCTCATGATAACCTTGTAAAGCTGGCAGATACGATTCTACTTAAAAGTGAAGAAAGTGATTCAGAGAATTTAGAGTGCCTGAATAAAGCCCATAGCAACTGAATGAGGAATAGCTTTAAGCTCTAGGGAGGTATGAAAGCAATCCTTCAGAGAATGGGTTCGGACTGATTGTGAAGGGATATGGGTCTAGAAATTTTATTGCAGCATTGAGGCATAGTTTGGATTGTTACTCATTTTATTGCCTGTCCCTCCCTCCCTGTGTGCTCTGGGGGTGGGGGAGTGGGGGGAGGGTAGGGATCGCGCGCGCACACACACACACTCCCCCCCCACCGCCCCGCCCCCGCATTGTATCCGAGCACCTAGAATAGTGCCTGAAACACAGGGTCTCAATAAATGCTTGTCAAATGAATTGTTCAAGAAATGTGTCTTAAAAAGAGTTTCTGATTTGATAGCCCAAATTTAAGCTAAAGAATGAAGATGAGCAGGAAATAGTTAAAACATGAATAGAAATAAAAAGAAAGCAAGTCTAAAAAGAAAAATTAGGGTGGTATTCAGGATAAGATAATGGGTAAATAAAGGAACAAAGGCATTGAAGTTTCAAGAGTGATCTACCAGCCAGGACCAAGTTCATCAGCCAGATTGTTTTGTGAGAGCAAAGTGAAACTACCATCTGAATATAAATTCCAGTTCTGAATCTGCACACATTTTCATATGCTTCACATTCATTTCGTCTAGGTAACTATTTCTGAAAGCCTATGTGAAATCAACACTATTTCCTAATCAAGCAGAAATATTCCCAAAATATGTAAGAGAACAATGTGCAAGACCTACAATGCAACTATGGTTTCTCCCTAATATCAATAGCAACTTTTTTAAAAGAATCAGTTGTTGCCCTGACTGGTGTGGCCCAGTGTGTTAGGCATTGTTCCACAGAATGAAAGGTGGCCAGAGGCGGCTGGCTCCATTCTGGTCGGGGCATGTGCCTGGGTTGCAGGCGAGGTCCCCCATCGGCAACCGATTGATTTTTCTCTCTCTTTCTTGCTCCTTCCCTTCCCCTTTCTCTAGAAATAAATAAAATCTTTAAGAAAATCAGTTATCTAACATTAGGCCGAAAGTTATTTGACACTGAATGGTACAGTAGAGAACAATGGGTTTTGAAGCAACATCAATCTGAACTCAAATCGTGACTTTGTCACATACTAGGCAAGGGACCTTGAGTAAGTCACGTTTCTGAATCTGTGTTCCCAGCTGCATAACGGAGAATAATAGTCCATGCCTCGTTGGGCTCCAGTGAGGGTTAAATGAGAAAACAGTTTATGAAAAGCATAACTGCATGGTGTAGAGGAGGTGCTGTGGTGAATGGATCCTCTTAGAAACAGGTGTATCCTGGTCAGGTAGGTGCACGCTGGGCAGACGTGGAGAGTACAGAACAGGGAACCAGGGTGCTTCTTAGTTGCAGAAGATGGGTTCTGACAGGCCTGGTAGTCAAAGGTCCGCACATTTTCTCGGCTTACACAGTAAATGTTTTCATGCGAATACATATACACCCGTGAAATGAGGTCATTTAATTGTAAAGGTACCGCTCAAACATCTATAATTGTGCCTGGTTTAGCCTCCGAGAGGCTCCTGATGCCCCAAAGAAACAATGACTTCTCTAGCAGTATGTCAGATGCTTTCTGGTCATTTGTTTTACGTTAGTTCTAATATTTATGCTTCTTAGGGAAAAGGTGGAAATTTGAGGTTGGAGAATGGGCACCAAATCCTTGGCTTCCAGGAGCGAGCCAACTTTTCTTTCTTAAAGAGGCTCAAGAAAGTATCCAACTCCGTTTCTCGGAAAATCCAAACCGTAGTTTTCTCCTTGCTTTGGCTCCTCTCGGGTCTTACACCCCGCGCACGGAGGACATTGGCCAGACCTAAGAGAAGCCGGCTAGAGTCCACCGACTCCCAGGAGGGTGAGACCGAAGCGCAGGAGCCGGGAGCAGAGGGCAAAAAGTCGCGGGTGCTTGCGGACAGGAGCGGGCGCCACAGGACCACAACTCCCGGCCTGCCCTGCGAGCTACACCGAAAGCGGTTGGCTAGGAGCTCGAGCTCGACTGCCCTCACCGGCCAATAGGACATAGGAGAAAGACCTGACCCGGATTCTCGAGGGCCAATGGTGGCACAGGGGGGGGCGGGTGCTTCCTTACTATTCACCTTGCACTCGGAAAAATCACATTTAAAAGGTCGTGCTGGGGCGGGCTCTGGCGGGCAGGGAGACAAGAACAGGAAGACGGGGTGGCGTCCCTGAAAACAGCGCCAGGAGGGTCCCGGAGTCCGTGAGGCGCGCTTTGGACGTCGCCGGGGGCGGGGCCGGGGGCGGGGCCTGGCCTCGTTGTGGAGCGGCTCGTAATCCATCATGGCGGCCGCGGGGGTCTGTGTTCGTTTCTGAGCAGCGCTGGAGCCGGAGCCGGTTCCCTGGTCCTGCAGCTGAGGAACAACCCCGTTGTCCACGGCCCACACCTGCGGGGGGAGGCTGGGCCCCGCGGCGGAGCTCGGGGGATGTGACTGCCTGGCGGCGGCGGCAACGTCTGGGGCCGGGGGAGGGGGTGTCTCGGGCAGAGACCCCCGGGCTCAGGGCAGCTGAGGCGGCCGGGCCTCCTCCCCCCTCCGCCGCCTCCCCGCTTCGGATCCCCGAGAGTCTTTCGTCCCTTACAGTCCTGCACCGACTTTGGGACCCTGGGGGTGGTCTCTTTCCCCCAGACCTGGGACACCCGGCTTCCTGAAGCGTGGAGCAGCGTCGCCCCCGAGTAAGCCGCCCGTGCCGCGCCCCGGCAGCCTCCCTCTTACCCTCGACCCTTCTCTCGCTCCGACTCCCGGCCCCAGATTTGGCCTCGGAGCCCCCCGTTCAAATCCCCTCCCCGCTGTCAGGTGGCCTCCCCTGCCCCCCAGGTTGCTCCCGGCAGCCTCCAATGCCCTGACTTCTCCCAATGTCACCTACGGCCCCCCTAGTCTCAGCCCTGCCAAAAACTTTAATGCAAAGGAAAAGTCTGGACTCGTTTCACAGGCCTTTTAAAAAGCGGACTTAAAAGTTGCTGGCAATGCATTCCTGCTCGTCAGAGTCGAGGGCGAGCTCTCGCTGAAGTCGGGGTGACCCGTGTCCTTTTCCGGAGAGCGGGGTAGAGGAGCGGCGGCGAGCTCAGCAGGAAATTTGTCCGAAGACGAAGAAGGCAGGGGGTGGGTGACTTCCACAGGAAAGTGCTGCCGCAGCCTCCGAAGGCGACCATCCTTTCCTTTGCGTGTGGGAAGCGCAGTCACTTCAGGAGTGACTGACCCCTCTCCAGCATCTCCTGTGAATATTTCTGTTTAGGTTTTTCTCTTTGAAGGAAGTTGTTATGCAGCCAGTAAAAGACACTTAAACATCAAGAAACTTTTGGGTAGCCTTGCGATCACGTTGTTTCAAACTGAAAAAAACTGCGAAAGTCATCGGACCTCCCGTTTACATGTGTCAGCCCGAAAACTGCTTCCTTCTGTGATGGAAGGTGTCCGGCTGTGACTGACCGCGATCACTGACTCGTGGACATGCGGTGAAATCCCGCAGAGCCGTGTAGGCCGGTCCTTCTGAGCCCACTGACCATTCCGAAAGCTCTGAACCCTCTTCTGGAAAGGGGCACCTATCCTTACTTTATGGGGCAGCAGCCTGGAAAAGTTCTTGGGGACCAACGAAGGCCAAGCTTGCCTGCCCTGCACTTCATCAAAGGAGCAGGGAAGAAGGAGTCGTCCAGGCATGGGGGGCCCCACTGCAACGTGTTTGTGGAACACGGTGAGTGCTTTTCCCGCTTTCTGGTCGCCTTTTCCTTTCGCATTCAGCTCAGGAAAGCATACGGATCCGGAATTACAGCGCTTGTGTGGGTTCCTTGCAGTTCTGCTTAGAACTTTCTGTTGCTGTCGTTATCTTAGTTTTTTCCTGGTAGAAGAAAAAGTTGCTTGGTGACCCTGTACGGTTTTTGTTTTGGGGGGTTTTTTTGTTGTTGTTTTTTTTTTTGAGTTGCTCCGTTGTTGCCTGATTCTGCTTCTCACTGACTCTTGGGTGACCTTGGACAAGCCCGTGTTACCATTCCAGTTTCCTGAGGAGGTGGGACTGAAGTGCCTTCCCAGGATCCATAGTCCATGATTCTGCGCCAACCGGAGGCGTGGGCTCTTCCCCTCCGGTGCACGGATCCTTCCCTGCTTTATCTACCGAGAGCTTTTAGTTTGTGTTCCCTAAAAGCCTGAGAACTACAGAGCCTAGCTGACGCTAATACCCTTGAGCTTCTCAATCATAAGAAGGACTTGAAAACACTCAGCTCCGTGGGGATAATCAAGCAGGGAAGCAGCGTTCCCTGTGAATTGAGGATACCCTGCTTCCACTTATTTTACTTTCATACAAGGGGTAATCCTTTCCCGTGGATGGACCTTTCCTCCTCCTCTGTCCCTGTTTGAGATGACATTTGAGGCAAAAGGGTGGTCTTTGACATTTTTATGGACATAGCATTTGAGTTCGGATAATACGTGTTGCACTGCTCACTTCTAGTAATTCTTTGTGGAAGTGTAAAGCTAAGGGTCAGCTTCGAAGATGTCTGTCACAGGGGCCAGCCACAAACCAATTAATTAGGGTCCTCCGGGAACTGTTGTCCCCTGACATTTTTCAGACTGTGTATTTTACACTAGAATATCAGTTGGTTGAGTTGCAGGCTGAACTAGCTGCTTTTGAGCCCACCCACCCTAAATGAGCAAATGTAAGGTGAGTGCAGGTGTCATGTACTTTGAATTTCAGTCACAAATACCTGTTAACAATGGGTGACTACAGTAAACTCAGGTCTCTGTTCATTGAACTTGCATTTGACAGCTGAAGTTTGAGGTTTGACTTTCTTACAGAAAAATAGTCACCTCATCTACATAATCTGGGTACTTGGATTTTGCTTGCCTTAAAACATTTCGTTGTATTTTAGCATTGGTTTTAGCCAGGCAGATAAGGTAATGCGTTAGGTTCTGGCACTTCCCAAATTCAGCAGTGAGAAGTGGCACAGATTTTCTGGAAAGCCTTGGCCAAACTTACCTGATTTTAAAATGTACATACCAGTGACCCTTTCCGTTGCGTGTGGGAAGCGCAGTCACTTTGGAAATGACTGAATGTCAATGTCCAGGAGCCGGTCCTGGTGTAGAACAGTGTGGTTCCCCTAGATGTCCCTGATGTCCCTTGGGGGGTCCCGTGTTAGAACTTTTTGCCTATGAATGGAATACTAAGCCGTTACTTGTACTCTGCACTAATGGGGCAAAAGTAATGCAGGCTTCTGATTAGCATGATTCAGGGCCGTGGCACCTAACTGTGCCAGTGGCTAGCGCATGCCTGCCACGCACCCAGAGTAAAGATGAACAAACAAACAGATAAATAAATGTGGTTTTCACTTAAGTATGTCTTTTGATGAAACAGCAAAAATTATTAGTTTCATTACCTCCTGACCCTTGTGTGTACGTCTTCAGTGCTTTGTGGGATGAAGTGGGGAGAACGCGTAACTCATTTCTGTTGTGTGCTGGTTGTTTCCAGGAAGAGCACGGGGGTCGTTGGTTGAGTTGCAGGCTGAACTAGCTGCTTTCCTCATGGACTGGCATTTTACTTGAAACTGTGACGAAAAACTACGACTGAGAAACTATGGGTATTCAGACTAAAAAATGTATGAAGGGGTCTTCCAAAGAAGACAACTGGGAGCATCTGTCTGTTGCCAGTGACAAAATTTTAGTTTTCCAGCAAAAAATAGGATTGTGGAAAACTTGTATCTGCTACTGTGATATAGTGATTGCTGGTAACATTTACAAATGTGTTATTTTGATATCTTATGTGAAGTGTATTGTTTGGAAGATGTACATAATTCAGTGAATCAGTATTTTCTAAATGCTCAACACATATAAAATCACACGTAGGTAAAAGATTCATTCAAAGTGCAAGATAGACCAATGGATTTATTAAAACATTTTTTTAACCCTCGCTGAGGAAACACTTATTGATTTTAGAAAGAGAAAGGAAGAGGGAGGGAGGGAGGGAAGGGGAGAGAGAAAGAGAAAGGGAAAGAGAAAGGGAAAGAGAGAAACATTGATACATAGATGTGAGAGGGAAACATCGATCAGTTGCCTCCTCTACATGCCCGACCCAGGATCAAACCCACAACCTACGTATGTGTCCTGATCCAGAATCGAACCCGCAACCCTTCGGTGCATGGGATGACACTGCAACCAACTGACCCATTTGACCAGAGTGGATTTCTTTTTTTACCCTCACTGGAGAATGTGTTTTGTATTGACCTTAGAGAGAGAGGCAGGGAGAGAGAGAGAAACATTGATGTGAGAAAAGAACATCAGTTGGTTGCCTCTCCCATGCACCCCGACTGGGGATCAAACTGCAACCTAGGAATGTGCCCTGGCCAGAGACCGAACCTGCAACCCTTTGGTGTATGTAATGGTGCTCCAACCAAATGAGCGACCCAGCCAGGGCCAGACCAATGGATTTTAATGTAACAATACAAAAGTTCATTGGTACAGTTTTAGATTCTATATCACAACTAACCTTTAGGAGACTATCAGTTACCAGGTTTTGGTGTAGCTTCAGAGAGAATATCTACAATTATCTAAAAACACAGCGGAACAGTTATTTTCCAGTTATAATAAAAATGTTTATTCATTGTCACCCAAGGACAGTTTTTCATTGCTTTCAGAGAGAGAGGAAGGAAGAGAGAGTCAGAGAGAAGCATCCATGTGAGAGAGACACTGAACGGTTGTCCCCTGTACGCCCCCAGGGGGCTCAGGCCCACAGCCTGGGCACGTGCCCTGGCCAGAAATCGAAAGCACAGCCTTTTAGGTTCATGGGATGATGTTTCAAACAATTGAGCCACACTGGCCAGGGTGAAAAATGTGTATTTTTAAATGAAAAATAATTTTAAGAATTGCAGTTTAAATTTCTAATGTAGTGAATAATGATGAGGTAACCTATATGAACAAAAGCTTTTTGGGGTCCTCAGTAATTGTCCGCAGCGTCAAAGAGGTCTTGAGATAAAAAAGTTTGAGAGCTGCTGTTATGGAAGGTATATCAAGGAGACACGTAAGCCCAGACTGGTGTGGCTGAGTCGGGTGGGCATTGTCCTGCAAACTGAAGGGTCGCCGGATCGATTTCCATTCAGGGCACATGGCTGGGTTGTGGGCCAGGACCCTGGCTGGGGGCCTGTGAGAGAGGCAACTGATCGATGTTTCTCTCCCACGTTGATGTTTTTCTCCCTTTCTTTCTCCCTCCCTTCCTCTCTCTCTAAAAAATGAATAAATAAAATTTAAAAAAGAAAAAAAACCCCAAAGATACATAAGGATGTTTATTATTGGCATACTATAAAGTACTAAAACCAAAAGATGCCCTTGTAGTGGTAAGTGGAAAAAAGGAATTTGGAGATCGGTCTGCATTGTGTGGCCCTATTTTTGTAAAATAAAAATTATTTATTTATTTGTACATTCACAAAAAACGTGTGGAAGGATTTAGACTAAAATAGTTGTTTTCTCTAGGGAATTGGATTTAGGTGGAATAGGAGAAAACTTTAACTTTTTACTTTGCATTAGCAATATTCTAGGTTTCTTTTTATAAGAAGTTTGTATTATTTTATAATTTAAAAAAATACAAAGATTTAAAAACTGGACATACGGCAGCCCAACCAAATAGTCATTTCTCAGCAGCACCTTTTAATGAAAGAATTTGCTTAAGTTACGTTTTACTGAAGACAAAGCAGTTTCTTTGGACCTTGGCTATTCTTGAAGCAGAACATTAACACGGTCTTACTGTGTGTTACAAATTGTTCTTGATCTTTAATAGCTTGATCTTTCTAGAGTTGGTTAATATCCATACTATAGGTTGGATTTAAAGACTCGCAGGCAGAGCACATTGTTGCATCAGATGTGCATCTGGAAGTCGAGATGCTGTTGTGTGACGGTGGTGGTGGTGAATCTGAAAGAAATGGGGGGATATGGCAGCTTTTTGCTAAGATTATTCAGGGTCTAAAGGGCTAGTCATATGTTGGGGAAGCAAAAGGAAACCATGACGTGATGATTTCATGTGCCGTACATTCCTTCCAAATTTCAGTGGCTTGACTAGGAAAATTCACTTTTAGGAGAATTGATAAAGCGAGGTTGAAAACATTCACTAGTAAACCTTTCTTTTGGTGTTTCCTTCTTTATTCAATGAATATTTACTGAGCATACCCTATGTACCTGGTAGTATTTTAGCCATTGGTGCTGCATTAGTGAACAGACTTAAATTCTAGGGGGAGGAGACAGACTATCAATAAGCTAAATGAGTAAAATAACAGGGTAAAAATATTTCAGACAGAGGGCAGGAGGGTGGGGAGGATCTGTGGCCGGAGCCTGCGGCGCTGGGGCGGAGGGAGCTGAAGGACCGCGGCAGGGCATGACCTGGGAGGTGGGGGGAGAACGGCTGGGGAGGGCGGTCTGGATGGCCTTGCAAGGATTTTGACTTTTACTCATGCGGTTTGGGAGCCTTTGGAGGAGTTTGGAGTAACCGGAGGCGTAACAGCATCTGATGTAAGCTTTAGTAAAATCTCTCTGGTTGTTCTCTTCTGAAGGGGAGCCGGGAAGCGGCGGGATTCGCCCCACGCAGGGCTCGAGTGCGCTGGGTGGGGGAGAGTGCTGGGAGCGTGGGCTGGGGAGGTGTGCGCGGTGAGGGGGCAGACTCTGTGCCTGTCCTAAGGCGCAGCTCACCGCACTTGCTCTTGGATTAGGTGTGAGATGTGGCAT